CCCCTTCTCCCTTGACCCAGTTTTGCCCAACTAGTTTGAAAGGTCACTCTTATCTAGTAAACCATTGCTGGTGCTAGAGAGGAAACAGCGGGTTACACCAGACCAGATCACCTGATAGTCGGGAGCCATGGAGACAGTCCAAGGCTGGCAGGATATTGTCTGGGGGAAAGGGAGGGACAGGGACAGGATGGAGGAACTAGCTGTGGGTTGGAATGTGGACTGGCTAGTCCACCCCATCACAGCACATCAAAGAAAAGCCCATCAAGGTGTAGGAATGGTGCAGACCACCTTTTAGCTCATGGTTTAACATAATAATCACTAAAAGTCTGTCAAGCCTTCTGTCAAAGGCAAAATGCTGTTCAGGTAACAGACCACTTCCAGCCCATCAGAGGTGGAGAGGTGGTAATCTCTCAGAAGTCATACCTGTAGCCCACCCTCTTTAGCATGGTAAGTATTGTATAGCTGTATCTAGCTTCTTGTAAGAAGCAAACCAAGGCCTTTTTCCAAGATGCCCATGCCTCAGCATGTTTCTCTTTCTCATTCTTTCTCTAATAAATCTGGGGTTTTTGTTTTGTTTTTTTGAGTTGGAGTCTCACTCTGTCACCCAGACTGGAGTGCAGTGGCTGCTCCTGGCCACCGCAGCCTCGACCTGCTGGGCTCCGACGATCCTTCCGCCTCAGCCTTCCAAGTAGCTGGAACTACAGGTGCGCGCTACCATGTCAGGCTAATTTTTTTATTTATTGTAGAGATGAGGCCTCGCCAAGTTGCCCAGGCGGGTCTTGAACCCGCGGGCTCAGGCAATCCACTCACCTCAGCCTCCCAAAGCGCGTAATCTGTTTAAAAACTATACTAGCTGCTCTGAAATTCCTTTCTGTAGTGAGTCCAAGAACCCTAGAGCATTGCGCAGCACCCCACCTGGCAACCGGAGGGGAGGAGAGGGACTTACTCTCAGTTCTGCTGACATTGATGTCTACACTGGGTTACAGGCTATATTACTTTGGACTTTCTCTTTTGAATTCTATATCCTCAAAGGAATACCCCCCCCCCCTTTAAGAGTCAGGATCTTGCTTTGTTATCCAGGTAGGAGTGCAGTGGTGTGATTATAGCTCACTTCAGCCTCAAACTCCAGGCCTCAAGCTACCCTCCCGCCTCAGCCTCCGAGTTGCTGGGACTACAGGCGAGAGCCACCGCGCCGGACTGCAACTATCTTTTTCCAGAAACGACACTTTAAGATATAATAGGAGAAAGGAGACGAAAATTAGCAGAAGAGAGGAATTTGGTAGAGGGGGAAAGCCTGCCCGGCAGAAGAAAAGCAGATCAAGGAAGGGGGAGAAAAAAATGAAGAACCTCTTCCAAAGTAAATTCAGGCCCCAGAAAAGGCAGCAGATGTCCTCCGGGCATTCATCGCCGGCCTGGCATCTCATCTTTCCGCCGGCCGCGCCCTGCCCCGAGCTCGCCGCCAGCCCAGCAGCTGCCGCGCTCCGCCCCTGCCCGCGTGTTCCCCAGGCGCGCCTCCCCTCCCGGCTCCCAGCGGCTCTTCTTCCGCCCTCTCCCTGCGGAGCCCGGACCGGGCGGCTGCTTCCGACGGCCGAGAACCGGGACCCCCCCGGTCCCCGCCCCAGCTGCTCCAGCCGCGGTCGGTCACCCAGCTGCTTGAGCCCCCGTCGCTGGGGGACGGTCCCAGCGCAGGTAGAACTCGCCCTGGCCCCGG